TATTGAATTTTGAGAGAGAGAGAGAGATTTCATCAGTTATTTGCGTCACTCATAGGTATGGTGTGGCGGAAATGTCCTCATATGGAAATTCACTCTCGACTCATGGGTTAAGTCTCACAGTTTTTGTCATTACTGTTGGAGTGCGTGGTCGAGATCAGGTCCACTCTCGACGGCATCGCCTGACCTCATACTCATGGAAGTTGAAGAAAGGACAGCTCTGACCCTGGACTACTCGCCCACGTACCTTTGGTCTGCAATGCGCCGATCCTTGCAATGCAGTGCACGCAATCCCCGGGCAATCCGGTTGAGAGAGAGAGAGAGAGAGAGAGAGAGATTTTATCAGTTATTTGCGTCACTCATAGGTATGGTGTGGCGGAAATGTCCTCATATGGAAATTCACTCTCGACTCATGGGTTAAGTCTCACAGTTTTTGTCATTACTGTTGGAGTGCGTGGTCGAGATCAGGTCCACTCTCGACGGCATCGCCTGACCTCATACTCATGGAAGTTGAAGAAAGGACAGCTCTGACCCTGGACTACTCGCCCACGTACCTTTGGTCTGCAATGCGCCGATCCTTGCAATGCAGTGCACGCAATCCCCGGGCAATCCGGTTGAGAGAGAGAGAGAGAGAGAGAGAGAGATGCAAAACATAACATACTTAACACTATTAACTCGTATGCCTTTGAGTCCCAACTCAGTGGCCATACATTTGGTGAACATATCAAACCCCGATCTCGCCATACAATAAGCCGACTCTTGAGGACTCTATTCATAAAATAAATATTAATTGAAGCATGGTCAATATTACATCTATTATACCGGTCGAGTGCTTCTAATGCTGGACATGTTGATGATGGTGCCCCGGGTCTTCTCCAGGTGCTCCACACAAATGCTGGTCATAAAATGGTACCGGAGCTCCAAACAAACGTATTGTGAGAACATAAATCGGTATTTATTACCCAGTAATTACCCCAACACGAGCCCTATCTGCCCTGTCAACTGATTTTACAGCTAAGCTGGCTTTCACGCTATAGTTTTGTCGACCAGTTTTTGCAGGTCTTCCTCCCGAGTGGGGTCGGCCACCATTTCCAATACATGAGCGCCAGTATTGCGGCACTCATTGGCTACAGTAGTTTGTCGATTCGACCGAAAGTGCGAATAGTTTTGTCGACCAGTTTTTGCAGGTCTTCCTCCCGAGTGGGGTCGGCCACCATTTCCAATACATGAGCGCCAGTATTGCGGCACTCATTGGCTACAGTAGTGAGTCGACTGTCGGCGTACTGTCCGCTCACCACAACACTGGCGCCCGATTTGGCGAACTGTATGGCCGTAGACACAGCCAGACCCGTGTTGGCACCGGTAACCAGGGCTACTTTGCCTTTGAAATCGTATGAAACGGACATTTTAATTAAATTAATGGTAGTGTATAATATTAATGTCTGTTAAAAATGTTTGTTACTATATGTGTCACACTTATATATATTGATAATGATTTGAATTATGATGATATCAGCAATATTGTGTGATCAGGGTTAGAACCCAAACTTAGCCCCAAAATCAAAGCCCGACCCGACCCGAACCCGTAGAGTTTGGGCTCGACCCGGCCCGTTGACAAGTGCGGGTAACCCGCGGGTGCCCGAAAAAACCCGGTGGGCTATAATATAATAGTATACTCATATTTTATTCATACAATTTGGTTTTAAACGCTATTTAGAGTTTGGGCTCGACCCGGCCCGTTGACAAGTGCGGGTAACCCGCGGGTGCCCGAAAAAACTCGGTGGGTTATAATATAATAGTATACTCATATTTTATTCATACAATTTGGTTTTAAACGCTATTAATTATTATTATAAGTAAATTTGTGAAAAAAATTAAATTCTAATACCGTATTACCTCCGATATTATTACATGTAATACTATGTCATATTCAGTGGAGGGGTGTAATGATATCTCATAGTTAAGATCCGGCAAAATATTTATTAAATAGTGTTTAGATAGTATTTGCATAAAATAATTATTACCTCCGATATTATTACATGTAATACTATGTCATATTCAGTGGAGGGGTGTAATGATATCTCATAGTTAAGATCCGGCAAAATAATTATTAAATAGTGTTTAGATAGTATTTGCATAAAATAACATTTTGGAGCAAAGCCTTAATATTAGCCAGCTTATTCATCATATAAATGTAGACAAATAAACTTATATTTGTATGAATTATCAAAAAAATAGTTTAATTAATAATGAGTTCAGATAATACCAGCCAAATATTAGCTTATTTTTCGCAGCTTTTAAGCTTTTCTTGCTTACGACCCAATATTAAAACCTTTTAAGTTATTAATAATTAGACTTTATTGTACTGCATTATAACTTACTAGTAATTTATGAGTTTTTGCTTGAATAACTTATATTACAATAAAGTCTAACTATTAATAACTTAAAAGATTTTCATATTGAGTCATAAGCAAGGAAATCTTAAAAGCTGCGAAAAATAAGCTAATATTTGTCTGGTATCATCAGAATAAACGTTATTCATTTGATTAATTTTATTTTATATTGGGAAACAAATATTGTTTCATTTGAGTTATTTGTTCAATAATTTATTTTTTAAATCATATAAATAAATGGAAAGAATCAGAAATCATTGAAAAGGCAAACTGTATTCAAAGGATTTATTGATTATAAAAATATTGATATAATTGACACACTCTAAATATAAAAATATAAAAATATAAAATATTTTCTAATCATAAGTACTACAGAAAAAATTATAAACACCAATGTATGAGCATTTGTAATTAATATCGATCAATTAGTTATCGAGGATGTGGTCGATGTGGATACCGTTCCCCTTCTCATACTCCTTGAGTATCCCAATCGTAATGCGTCTAAACTGTGTTAAAGATATCTGTCGTTTGCATTCTCTCTGCAATT